CAGTGGAGTAGACCAGGTGGCAGCCCGACAAATGGCATCCAATGGCACACCCTTCCAGAACGCAGTCGTAGCAGACACCGCTCTCGTGGAGTGCCCTTTTACACCAACAGGAAGCTCACGTCCCGAATTCTTGTAAGCCAACTTGATCACAGAGACTATCCATGATGAGAGGCGTTGCGACGAAACAGGGAGACCGCAGGTATCTTTCCTGTATTTAACAAATAGCCTTGGCGTCTTTCTTAACTCTTTAGTTCTACTGAGGTAGAAGGCCACTGCCCTTCGCACATCCAACAAATGAAGACTACGTTCCATGGGGGTAGTAGGAGCCTGAAAAAAGGCTGGCAAAACAATCTCTTGGGACATATGGAAAGAAGACGTCACCTTGGGAAGAAAGGAAATGTCCGTGCGGAGCACAACCTTATCCTTGTGGAACCGGAGGTAAGGCTCATCTGATCTAAGTGCGCAGATCTCACTAACACGCCTGGCAGATGTTATTGCTACTAAGAAAGAGGTTTTCCATGAGAGATGCGAAATATCGCACGAGGCCATGGGTTCATACGGAGGGCTCTGAAGAGATGAAAGCACCACCTCTAGGTTCCATGAAGGAATAACAGGAGTGACTGCTGGTTTAACATTACCAAACCCCTTAAGGAAGAGCTTGACCAAATACTCCGAAAAGAGGGAGGGTAACCCCTCCTTCCTCCTATACCACGATATGGCCGCCAGGTAACATTTCAGTGAAGATAATGATAAACCTGAATCAGACAGCGAAACTAAAAAATCCAAAATCACTGAAATCGGGGCATTTACTGGGTCAAGGTTCCTCTCCTTCATAAACCGGGAATAACGCGCCCATTTATATACATATGAACGTTTTGTTGATGGTTTCTGTGCTGCGTCCAGAATAGCCTTAACCGGGGTTGACAAGAGCACAGAAGACCCTAACTGCCTGGAGCAATCCTCCAGGCAGTCAGTTTCAACATATGGACATCCGGGTAAAGAACCTGCCCGTTTTGCGATGTTAGGAGATCTATTTTGTTTGGAAATCGTCTGTACCTCCCTTTGGACATCTCGAGAAGAACCGAGAACCAAGGCTGGCGAGGCCACCACGGCGACACCAGAATACAATCCCCGATGTCCCTCCGAATCTTTGATAGGACTTTCGGGAGCAGTGGGAACGGAGGAAACACATAAAGAAATTCGGTGCTCCATTTGCGTAGAAACGCATCCCCTAGGCAACCCCGTTCCTGGTCCGCCCTCCTGCGGGCACAATAAAGGGGGCACTTTGCGTTTTCCTGTGACGCAAACAAATCTATCGTTGGAAAACCCCAGATCTTGAAGATCGTATTGTGTTCCTTGCGATTGATAGACCACTCGTGATTGGACATGGGGGATCTGCTTAAGTGGTCTGCTAGTATGTTCTCCTCCCCTGGGAGGTGAACAGCTATTAGGTGAATCTCTCTGGCTATGCACCACTTCCAGATGCGCATAGTAAGACGTGACAGGACCTGTGACCTCGTTCCCCCTTGCTTGTTTATGTAATACATTGACGTTGTGTTGTCCGTCACCACCTGAACTACCTTGCCTAACAACGCCATCTCGAAGGATTTTAGCGCCTTTTCTACGGCAAATAACTCCAGAACATTTATATGATACACTGACTCCTCTGGAGTCCATACACCCTGGGCAGTTAAACCCTCGAAATGTGCACCCCAGCCCTTTAACGAGGAGTCCGTCGTGACCACAGCGGACGGATCCGGACTCTGAAAAGGTAAACCCACAGTTACATTGTCCGGCTCCGTCCACCACAAAAGAGCGCGTCGTACTTTTTTTGGAACGTGAAACCGCACATGGGGGTTGTCCAAACCCGGGCGAAATACAGACAGGAACCAATTCTGGATGGGTCTTAAACGTAACCGGGCATAAGGTGTGACGGCAGTCGTAGACGCCATGTGCCCTAACAGAATTTGGATTTTCTTTGCAGACACCTTCCTTGAACTTAGAACACGCGCAACCAGGGACTTGAGGGACGTAAATCGGTCCTCCGGCAGAAACGCCTTTTGATGGAATGAGTCCAAGACCGCTCCAATAAACTGGATCTTGCGAACAGGCAGTAGGTGAGATTTCTCCCTGTTTACCACAAGACCTAAAGACTGGAGGAGAGAGAGTGTTAGGTCTATATGCACATGCAAGCGTTCTCGCGATTCCGCCACCAAGAGCCAGTCGTCTATGTACGGGTAAACCGTAACGCCCCTAGTTCTAAGGTAAGCAGCAATCACTGCCATACATTTTGTGAAAACTCTGGGAGCCGTCTTAAGGCCGATAGGTAAAACATTAAATCTGTAAGCTGTATCTCCAACCATAAAGGCGAGATACTTCCTATGATGTTCAGCCATGGAAATATGAAAGTATGCGTCCTTCAAGTCTATGGTTGCAAACCAATTATCTTTATTTAGAAGAGGAAGGATCATAGAGAGAGAAACCATTCAAAATTTCTTTGTATCAATGTACATGTTCACTCCTCTTAAGTCTAAAATAGGACGTAAACCACCTCCTCGCTTAGTTACTAAAAAATAACGAGAAAAGAAACATTCATTAAACATAGAACTATCAATACGAGAAATCGCTCCCTTTGCTAGGAGAGTTTCAACTTCTTCCAGCAATGCTGGAGACTCTGGGGTAACTTTCAAATATCCCAACGGGGGCAATGAAGTAAACTCTATTGAATAGCCTTCCTCAATTATCTGGAGGACCCACCTATCGGTGGTAATTGCAGCCCAGGCCTGGGCAAAAGGTCGAAGCCTATCTTTGAACCAAACATAACTAACAAGTTTAGGAAATTCAGGTACACTATCCTGGGGACAGCGGATATCAGAAACACAGAGTCCGTCAAAGACGACGCCTCGTACTACCTGCGGCCTTAGCCTTAGTTTGGTATGGTTGATACCTAGACTTTATATTGTAATTTTGTTTCCTGCCAAATTGGAATCTCGAAGAAGTGTTCCGATTGGTCTGATTTGGGTTAAACCCACCAAAACTCGCTCTACGATAAGAGGGTGGAGTTTGCTGCCAGCGATTTTTTTGAAAGTTACCTGGCTGCCATGGGTACCTGGCTGCCATGGGTATGGGTATTGGTAAGGATATTTGGCTGCTTGCATAACTTCCCGTGAGTGTTTAATCTTCTCATCCGTTGTTGGATCAAAAAGACCTTCCTCAGTCATAGGAAGGTCTTCTGCCAACAAACGGCTCTCTTCAGATAGCGTGGAAGCACGAAGCCACGCGTGTCGCCGTATGGCCGTGGCAGAGGCAAGAAGCTTGCCCGATGTCTCAGCCATATGTTTGGCGAAGTCTTTCTGCAATCTAGAAAGAATAAGTGCCTCAGCCTGATATGCCCTGGGAAGACGTCGGTCTTCAGCTGGCAGGAGATTGATATAGGGCAGCA